CAAACGAGATGACTCATCGACCTTGAATGTTAATGCGCAGGAGTTCGTTCAAAAGGCATTTATTAGCAATTATTCGAATAAACAGAGTACAGTTCTGCTTTCAACAGTCGTATGTTTTCTAATTGATAACGAGGGAAAAAACACAGAGTGAAGTGTCTGCTGGACGGGGGCAGTATGTCGAACTTTTTGACACGGAATCTTATTGAGCATTTGCAGTTAGAGAAAGAAAAAACAAACATTTCCGTTTCGGGAATAAATGATGCTACTTTAACAATAAAGCATAAAATTAATGCTTCGATATGCAATAAAGAAGGAACTTTTATAAAGAATTTGGACTTTTTAGTAATTCCAAAAATAACTGCTGATTTAACACCTTCGCGCAAAATTAAAATTTCAGTGCAAGATCTTCCTAATTTAAAATTAGCAGATGAAGGATTTAATGTTCCAGAAAGGGTAGATATGTTGTTGGGAGCGGGAGTTTTTTTATGAACTTTTGAAACCGAGTCAAATTCGAATGAATAATCCTGATCTTATTTTTCAAGATACAGTTTTTGGTTTTATCGTGTCTGGAAGTATTCCAACAGAGACTGAAAACAGGGTTCATTGTGGGTTGATAAAGGAAGAAGACAACTTAGATAAAACTCTTAGAAAATTTTGGGAATTAGAAAATATTGAAACTGATAAACCCAAAAACAAAGAATTTTTAATTTGTGAGAAACATTTCGTAGAAAATTATACACGAGATAAAACCGGTAGGTACGTTGTTAAAATGCCATTAAAGGAGGATCCGGACACTTTAGGAAGTTCTAAACAAATTGCAACGAGTAAATTAAATTCCTTATGGAAACGCTTAGTAAAGAATCCCGAATATTTAAAATTATATTCAGATTTTTTAAAAGAATATCAACAGTTAGGACATATGGTTGAGGTGAGTGAAAGCGAGGAGGAACGAGGTTCATATTACATTCCTCATATTGGAGTATATAGGGGAGAAGAGAAAAGTAAGTCGACTCCCTTGAGGGTAGTATTTAACGCTTCTTCTTTGACAACCAAAGGAAACTCTCTAAATTCTATACAGTATAATGGAGGTGTGATACAAGATGATTTATTCTCAATTATGCTGAGATTCAGGAAATATATTTTTGCTTTCACTGCTGATATACAAAAGATGTATCGAGCTATTTCTATCCATCCAGATCAGTGGAAGTTGCAAAGGATTTTATGGAAAGAAGGCATTGATAAGCCAGTTAAAAACTTTGAGCTAACCACCGTTACCTATGGAACTGTGAGTGCACCATTTTTAGCAATGAGAACACTTGTACAGCTGTCAAAGGACGAAGGAGATAAATTTCCTTTAGCAGCACCTGTACTGAGAGAAGACATGTACATGGACGATATTCTATCTGGAGCTGAGTCGCTAAGTTCTGCGTTAGAACTTCAAAATCAGTTAATAGGCATTTTGAAGAGTGGAGGTATGTTACTCCATAAGTGGTGTAGTAATGCTACTGAACTGTGTCAAACAAACGACAAAACATATCCCTTTGGTAAATCAGAAGAATCTAAAGCATTAGGTATTTTATGGAAGTCAAAAGGAGATTGTTTGAGCTTCAACGTTAAAATCGAAGACAACGTAAAGGTTACGAAACGGCAAGTGTTATCCGTCATATCTCGCATCTTTGACCCATTGGGTATAATTTCTCCAGTTATAATTGTAGCAAAAATATTTATGCAGAAATTATGGCTGTTAAAATTGAACTGGAATGATGTTTTGCCAGAAAAGGAGGCTAAAGAATGGAAAGAATTCTCCACTACCTTGCAGCTAATTAACAACATTGAAGTCCCTAGATGTATTTTATTACCGGATAGAATCAAGATTGAATTACATGGTTTCTGTGATGCCTCAGAGGCCGCCTATGGAGCAGTTATCTACTGTAAAGCAACATCAGCAACAAACCATACATCAGTGAGGTTGGTGTGCAGTAAATCGCGTGTCTCACCCCCTAAAGAAGACTACAATCCCAAGACTTGAGCTTTGCGCAGCAGTGCTATTAGCTAAACTGATGCATCGAGTGAAATCATCGTTAAAATTGGAGCTTACTGCTATCCACCTTTGGACCGATTCTATGATTGTGCTGTCATGGATCAACAAAGAGCCACACCTGCTCAAGACATTTGTTGCAAACCGGATTTCAAAGATACAGGATCTGACTGAAATAGCACAGTGGCATCATATCGCTTCTGAAGAAAACCCATCAGATCTCATATCTAGAGGTATGTCTGCCAAAAAACTGCAACTAAGTCAACTGTGGTGGAACGGGCCTGACTTCTTAATGAAGGATGAGTACCCTATAAGAGTTATACCTGAAGCAATTACTGAAAAGGACAGTAATGAACTTAAAAACTTTGCTGATTCTGAACTATCTACATGTTTAAATCTGAATGTGAAAAATTTTGTTAATGATTTATTGAATTGCAGTAATAAGTATTTAAAATTAATTCGTATTATAAGTTTTTGTTTTAGGTTTTACAAGAATTGTAAGCAAGAACAAAAGCAGGTAGGTAATTTACAAGTGGGAGAATTGAGAGCAGCTGAAGAAACTTTAATAAAATTAGTACAGGGTGAGTATTTTATAAATGAGATAAATGATCTTAAAAAATCAGATATTGTTCCAAGAAATAGTTCTATTAAAAGTCTTAACCCTTTCATTGACAGTAATGGACTGTTGAGAGTTGGAGGTAGATTAAAAAATAGCAATTTAACTTATGAGAAAAAAATTTCCTATTATTCTGCCTTCTAAACATAAATTAACAGAGTTAATAGTTAATTACTATCATTTAAAATATTTGCATGTGGGTCCTCAATCTTTGTTATATCATATAAGACAAAAATTTTGGATTGTAAGTGGTAGAAATGTTTGTAGAAAAATTGTAAAAAATTGTATAATATGTTTTAAAGCCAATCCCATTGTAGCTCAGCAAATCATGGGTGATTTACCCAAGGAAAGAATCACAGCTAATCTTACATTCAATTGTACTGGAGTTGACCTCTGTGGCCCATTCTTAATTAAGTACAAAAACCAGAGAAAAGGTACATATCAAAAAGTTTATGTGTGTATATTCATTTGTATGGTTACTAAGGCCATTCATTTAGAGCTGATAACAGACCTAACATCTGAAGCATTAATAGCTACCTTGAAACGTTTCTTTGCACGAAGAGGTAAAAGTTTAACACTATTTAGTGATAACGCTACGAATTTTGTAGGTGCAAATGCAGAATTAAAGAGATTAAACAAAGTTTCAAACAACCATTTACCAAATTATGTGTCTCACGAATACAAAAATGAGTATTGTCTTTATAGTTATTGTACAGTATTGAATATGTTTCACATAAAATGTCATTATGTAACTGAAATGTTATATTGTATTGCTTTGAGTTGTATGCTGAATGTATATGGTAAATGTCTAATTATAATAATGATTTTTATGTAATAGTACTTATTCAAAATTGTTTATGATATACTTGTTTAATTTTTTATGCTATATCTTAATTACAATAGTTGAATGCTAAGCATTGCAACGCGGGGCGGCATGTTCGCGCCTGCGCATCTGTAATGTAATCCACGCATGCGCATCTGTAATGTGATGATCAAACGAGTTTGAGAATCGCCATCGACGGTGTAAGAGGGCTGGTCACAGCTATGAGTTAATTGTAATTAATTATGAGAATTAATAAAGAATCGAACCAGCGAATTTATTTAGTGTGTGTTATTTGGGACGAGACCCCAACACATTTAATGCCATAAATATTTCATAAAATAAATAAATTAAAGAATTCTCAGTTTTAGACAATTCGATTAAACGAGTAGTCAGACGATAAAGCCGAAGGTAAAAATTCTCTTAGAAAATGTACTCTTATTTTTTAAAAAAAGGAAGAAAGAGAGAATTTAAAAAAATTGTTAAAAATTTGAATAATATCATCTATAATTTCAAAAAATAGATTTTCATATAGTATTAATAAATATTTATTACACCTTATTGTGGGAAAAAATTTCATATAATTAATTCTTCATAAAATTTGACTTGAAATTTAAGGTTAAAAATAGCTGTGGCAATTCAGTGTAACAAAAATCCATAGACCACATTTGGCGTTATTATCGCTCAAAAAAAAGATGCCAAATTTCAAAACGCGAAAATATGTAAATTCCTATATATCTTAGAAAATTTTGAATAAAAAAGTCTAATTTTTTGCAGATATGCTTAAAAATACACCTACTTTATGATGATGGTAAAAATTTTTATAGGTTATAATTCAAAATTTTTTTCGAAAAATTTATAAAAATTATTTAAAATAGAAATTTAAAAAATAAAACACAAAAAATGGGTAAATTTTATTTGGAATGAACCTAAATTTCAAAATGTGAGAGAAAAAATCAAAAAAGTTCAATAAAAAAAGAGATATTAATAAATATTTGCCAAATTCAATTAACATTGAGGAGCTAAAATTTTGAGAGCTAATATTTTAAAAACTACTCGTACGATTTTTACAAAACTTGGAATTCTGGCATAATTTGAACCGTAGAATCGAAATATGGAAAACAATTGGTATGTTATTTCAGAAAAAGTCCGATTTTGTGTCAAAATACCTATGTTAGAATAGAATATATATAGAATATATAGATCTAATATATATCCTAAGTCACGCTTTCGAGACATGAAGAACGCAGTTTGAATTTTGTCAATCGGCCCAGTAGAACGGGAGATATAGCACTGTCCCATTTTTTTTTTTTTTTTTTTTTTTTTTTTTGAGCAGTGTACATATAAATGTCATGACAGAAATAGTCAAAATGGATATTTCCACTGAAATCTTAAAAACAAAATTTTTGAGATTACAATACTTCCTTTACATCATACAAGGATGTAAAAATAACATTAATATGCATTTTAGATTTCAATACATACACTGATTAAATATAAGACAATTATTATCTAATATACTATACCTTTTGAGCAGCAGATGATTTAGGTTTTAACTGTCTTAACAGTTGCAAAATTTTTACATTTTCTTCAGTCCTGTCCACTAAGAATTTTTCTTTATAATCCTCTACAAAATTAATATCCTATTAATATAATTTATTCATGAAAATAATAGAATAAAAGTGGTTCTTGATATTGATATTAAGTAAAACTCATAAACAGCTTTCATTCTTCCAGAAAAATATATAAATAGTTATCAACAACTATAACTAAAACAATTATTAAGCAAAAGATGTATCAGTGGACTTAATAATTTAATCTTTATATGAAGCAGAAGTATTTATAACTGCAGAAAAAGATAATTTTCTAAGGATTTAAAATGTTTAGATATTAAAAGAAAGTAACAATCAATCAGTGAAACCTAATAATATAACATGGAATTCTGAATCAACTTTACTTCAAGTGGGTAAAAATACATTTACAGGTGCCCCTTGGTGATTTTCAGGTTTTGTGCCAAAAATTGCTGCTATACAAATCCAAAATAACAAATCAAAGAATTACACAAACTCGATATCCATGTACACATCAACCTATTTAAAAAAAAAAAATCAGAATTGCACAAACTAGGCATTGCACACATAGTTTGTCTATGTACACATCAATCATATTCACTTTAAAAGTCAAAGCACCAACCAACGAAAAATATAGGTTAGAGTAGAGAGAAAGGTACCCCTTGTATTATTGCGAAGTTGTTTCATTTACGGCCAAGTTGGTGCTTCAGTTTTTGGTAGTCTGAGTAGTTGAATGTTATGGAAACCCTATTATGACGTAATCGGTTGCATGACTGCAGTAAATTCATAAGGGCTCGTGTGTGTGTTCATTAGGAAGTATATTACTTGTTTTGTGGTTTAGACGAAAATGGCTGAATGTGGTAAGAATAATTTGAAGTTTCTGTATGATTTGGAAAGAGATGGGGGGGAACATTACTTGACTGATGTGTAAATGAAGGTTTACTTAGTAGCCATTATTCAGTGTCCTGTTTGTAGGAAGAAAATGCGTATGGGCAAACATTGGACAATAAACGCAGGATATTTTTTACAATTATTTTGAGAATTAATGCGGCGAAGCCAGTATATAGATTCTAGTTCAGATAATTTTAAGCAGTTTTTAGATGCTATTAAGAAATTTTGTTTGACTGAAGATATATTAATTCATAAATAAGGTGGATATTTCCTTACTGTAGTGCAAAGATGAATTTCCTTTTTTATGTTATTTCATTTTTTGATTTAAAATGCAGTTTATTTAGATTTCATATTTTTTTTTTTTTTTTTTTTGTTGCCTGCTCCTTTGACTTTTTAAGTGAATATAATTCGGATGTGTACATGGACAAAGTCATGGAAACGCACAATGCCTAGTTTGTGCAATTCTCTGATGTTCTTTTAAGTGAAAACAGGTTGATGTGTACATGGATAAAGTCAAGGGAGTGTGCAATACCAAGTTTGTGCAATTCTCTGATGATTTTTTAAAAATCAAAAATAGGTTGTTGTGACATGGATACCGAGTTTGTGCAATTCTTCGTCTTGTTATTTTGGCTTAGTGTAGCAGTGATTTTTGCGAATGCACAAACTTGGTATCCATGTACCATCAAAAATCGCCAAGGTATACTCGTAAATATATTTTTACCAAAATATATAATCTCAATAAACTACATTTTAAATCAAACAATGAAACAACATAAAAAAGGTACTTCATTAGCATTACACAAAGGAATTATCCACTTAACTTATTTAGAAATTTCCATGTGTTCAGTCAAACAAAATTCCTTAACAGCGGCCAAAAACTTCCTAAAATTATCTCAACTAGAATCTGTATACTGGCATCACCACATCAATTCACAAAAATAAGAGTAAAAGATATCTTGTAAGAGTAAAAGAGTAAAAGATCCTCCATAGTGCTGGTCTCCTCCGACATTCGACCATACACATTTGATTCCTACAAACAGGACACTTGTAATGGCTATGAAGTAAATCTTGATTTACAGACCAGGCAATTAATGCTTTTTTCCCTTTCATTGCAAATCACACAGAAACTTCAAATTAATCTTACCACATTCAGCCATTTTACCACTAAATCACAAAATAACAACATACTTCTTATTCCAAATCCGACACATAAACAAGCCTTTCCAAATCTTTTCTCATCATTCAAATTTAGCACAATCATGCAACCAATTACGTCATAATAGGGTTTCCATAGCATTCAATTATACCAGGTTACCATAAATGAAACAACTTAGTGATAATCCAGGAGGCACTGTTAAATCTACTCTAACTAAAAAGTGTAATGGGAAAAAGGAAAATAATCAAGCTTATTATTTAAGATTACTTGCATATACTTATGTATGTGTTTCTACTATATGCTACTTGAAATACATAAATATTTCTCAGTAACAGCATTCACACAGTTTTTAATGTATCTTTGAAAATGATATTTGACCATTTCATCTACATTAAAGTTTCTTAAACTATTTATTGATCATGACCCAAAATGAAATTTTGAAAATGACCCTAAATCAAAACTTTGGGGTCACTAAAATTCAATTCAATAATAGAATTTAAAGAAACTGCATTTGTAAGACTTTTACATAAATTATGTTAATTGCCATTAACGAGATTAGATGTTTAAAGACATTAATTGATAGTAATGAGGTTAATTACCTGTTATACAAAATGCTTAGGAATTTGTAAAGCTATCTAGTGATTCAAACTTAAAACTTGAGTTTTCACAAAAATCCCTGAGGAAGTTGGATCGGAGTTATTACTAGCTTTCTCACTACTTCTGAAATGGCATTAAATATTCTTCTCTAATTCAGCATCATATATTTTTATAAACTACTTTTTTAGCTTTAATGCTAATTAAAACCAAATGTCGTTCAACTTTGAAACATGTTGAAGATGCTTTAAGTGTGGCAGTGTCAAATATTGCATGAACATTTTATTTGTTATACAGCAGAAAACAAGCACGTTTGTCTCATTAGAATTTTTTTAAATTTTTGTCAAATATTGCATCAACATTTTATTTGTTATACAACAGAAAACAAGCCCACTTGTCTCATTAGAATTTTTTTAAATTTTTGTTTGCTTAAAATAAATTTTAAAACTACTTAATATTATATATACACTAAATGAATTTAAGATCATACAACATTATATATATATACATATATATAAGATATAACAAAATATGATAGCTGTTTAAAAAAATAATTGGCGACCTCAAAATTAACATTCTAAATTTGGTGATCTACCCCTAAATTCATCTCTTCTCACAGGTTCCAGATTTTTCTGTCTTACATAACGTTTTAATGTAGAAGCCTCTTGTTCAATCAAATTAATTGTAAACCAAAACTCTGAACTGAAACTTTCCCACTCCCAACCTTCTTCCTCTGAAAGTACTATAACTTTTCCCCTTTTTCGCATAAGCTCTGCTGCTCGCAAGACGCTTTTCATCTATGCTGCTGCTTACTTGCTGAAGATAACGTCGTACTTCAAATTAGAACTAAATTAACTCAAATTACAAATTAGAAATCTCAAAACAAAATGAACTCAAATGAAATATTATTCAAATATAATAAGGAAACATCTTGTCTGAAAAAGGGATGATTGGATACACGTAAAAAAAATTAAGATTGTGATTTTTCAAGATACATTGTGCTAAATTGTGTCATCATGCTTTCCACTCTGCCACCTTCAACCCACTACGGTCTTCTTGGTCATCTACGCAGTATCGTAAACTGTTAAAAGTTCCACTGTTTTCATCTACGCATTTTTAAAATCATTACATATTTATATATTGTTTACCAAAGAAGTAAATTATTTACAGGAGGATATTTATTTTTATAGCTTTATTTTACATTTAATATCTGGGGTCGCAAAAAAAATCTCAGTGATAAAAAGTGGGTATGACAAAAAAATTTAAGAAGCCCCGATCTACATTATGCCGAAATAACACTTAAAAATATCTTTTTTGGCTGCTTTCACTTACAGCAAATTTTCAGTTGTCTTTTATGACCTATACTTGTTGTACAGCAGTTATTAGAGTGTAACATAGCCTAGCAGATTACTTGAGCAATGCTATCAAACTACTTTGCATATTTCTTCATCTATAAAATATGACAGATATTACTTTTGTTGTTTTATAACACATTACAACACTCAGTACAACACTGTAATTTTCTTTACATTACAATGTTTTTACTTACATGTGACTGGCTAAAAATGCACAATTTTTGGTATTTTCTGATTATATGAATGCCCATGAAAAGCACTTCATTGGTGACAAATTAATTAACTGCAAACATGTTTTTTTTTTTTTTTTGAATAACTTCATGGCTCAAAGGTACTGTTTTTTATTATATATAATAATGAAAAGAACCATTTTAGAAAGGAAAAGAATAATTTAAAAATCAAACAAGAAATGTTATGAAGGGAGGGAGAACCATACAATCAATATTTGCATTTTTACAGCCTGTTTAACAAAATGGTAAAGATATATTTATGGATGCCCCTTGGTGATACTTGGCAATTTTGGGCAGTACATGGACACCAAGTTTGTGCAATTCTTTGACTTGTTATTTTGGCTTTGTGTAGTGGCGATTTTTGCACAAAAAATCACAGCTTCACAGTATTACAAAGCAAAGGCATTTTTTTTTTTTTTTTTTTTTTTTTACTCAACATATTTTTCCAGCAATCTGCTAGCCAAATTATGCTTATGCTAGAACTTTTATGAAACAAAAGTGCTTAATCATGACAAAGATTAGGTGCGAAATTGGGAGAAAGTGCAGAATCGCAAACTGCTTGCCGCATTTTTAAGAATTGCACATTCTTGGTAACCATGTACACGTTGACTTATTTTCACTTAAAAAAACATCCCAGAATTGCACAAAAATGGCATCGCACACACTCGACTTTATCTGTGTACACTGCTAAAGTCCTAGCTAGTAACCTTTATCGCCTTACCAAAATGTCGCCAAACTACCTGTTACCATATTTCAAAGATTAGCCACACAAATTAGACATTGCACACTCCCTTGACTGTATCCATGAACACATCGATATATTTTTACTTAAAAAGTCAAAGCACCCAATTCTAGGTAAAGGATATTTACGGAACATTCAACTACTCCGGTTACCATAAATGAAACAGCAACTTGGCGATAAATGAAACAAGAACTTCACGATAATACAAGGGATACCCTTTAGTCTACTCTAACTGACTAAATCTCACAAAGAGGATATAAAGTGATCCATGTGCCAGAAAAGTGATGAAGGTTTAATCACTGACCTTCTGAAGTGTATTGAAGCAACTAGTTAGTGGTTGTTTGCTGTATAACTCATGACTGACCTGTGAATAGCAGCATCAAATCACTGTACATGGAAAACATTTGGGGAGTATTGTTATGATCAAACCTACCACCAGGTTCCAGCAGTTCAAGTTGAAGATATGAGCCTTTGTGATGAACATCACAATAGGCAACTATAATTGCATGATGATGCCTTGAAAGCAGCCATAGAGAAAGACAACAGTCAAATGTGTGATGAACTTACCAATAACTTCTGGATTTCCAAGGAAAGAGTCAGACTTCAGCACTATAAAGGGAAGGTAAGCTGAACAAGTGGGTACTTCACACATTGCCAGTATCCAACAAGCAACATCATGTGGCAGCCTGCCTGTCATTGAACACACACATATTTGGTCAAGTTCCCACAAGTGATGAGGAATGGATCCAATACGGCACTTCCAAGTATAACCAAGATGGATTCTTCAAACATGATCACATGCCTTACACCTCAAAACAACCTCTACACCTACACAACATCATGCTCTGTGTCTGATAGAGAAGTCACGAAGTACTGCATTATGAACTACTAACATCAGGCCACACCATCACCAAGTACCTGTACTCACAGCAGTTGCAATGGGTAAAATATGCTCTGCTGCAAAAGGGACACCACTGGCTAATCACAAGGGTACCTACATGACATGTAAAGACCACATGAGGTAAGGACAACTAAGAATACCATTCAATGGATTAGCTATGACAAACTGTTCTCGGTACACCCAAACAAACTGTTCTCGGTACGGGAATGAAACTGGATCCCGTGGATCCGTCCTTTCATTCCCGTGGATGGAAAACTACCTCTATAAGAAATTCTTCAACAAAAAGGCAGACTTATAGCACATGCTTTTTCACATCCAAGATTTCACAGTTTTATTAGCAGCAGGAACATTAAAAAAGTGTTGGGCGCTGAGGGAAGATTAATTAAAGACGTAATGCTAACAGCCATGAATGGTAAGAACTTTCTCGGTTATCCTGTACTATAAATTGCGGTTGATCTTTACAATATGGTAACTGATAGTTTGGCGACATTTTGGAGGCGATAAAGGTTACTACCTGGGACTTTGGTAATAATGTGAGCAGTACTCAGTTCCCATTATGCATTATTTTGCGTGAGGGAAATGAGAGATCATGGGATATGTCATGTGATATTAATGGACGAATTACGGTTCTTTAATCGGAAAAGGGGGGAAATCGGGAAAAAATGTGGAAATTTTGTATTTAGCTTTATTCTGTGTTGTGTGAAACAGTGTTTAATTTTTGGATCCCATGGCCCTAACTAAAGTGAATTCGAAATGGGTATTTAGGCATTGTGATAAAGAGAAGTTTGCTTTTTATTTAGCGGAGGAAGTATGGAGGAAAAATTCGCAGAAAAAATCTTTCAATAATTTTATTGAATGAATTACAAAAGTGTATCCACCACGTAATCAAGATTCTGAAGAAGATTAGGTAAGTTAGTATTTTTAATTATTTGAGGATATTATTTTTATGCATTGTTCTAAATGTAAGGTGGAAAGGAATTTGGTATTATTGGGAAAATTGTTATTAGCAATGATTTAAAGTAATTAGGATTGTAAGGTCATTTTAATTAATTTAATGTATGTGCTCATTTATATTTTAAGTAGTGTTTTTGAATTTAATTATATTTTAATGAAATGATAGTTATTTTGTGAATTTTATGTTTGTAGGAATTTGGTATACGTTTAAGTTGAAATAAACGTGCATGGAAATAATTTAAATATTTGATACTAAGTATTTGTAATGCTTGCGGTATGAATTCGTTGGTGACGTGTATTATGTAATAGATGATTTAGAGGTAAAAGTTTTTGGATATTTTATTTATTTTATATGTGGAAATGTTCATATTTGTAAAGGGTAAATACTTTTTCGCGATCAGGTAATTTCATATATGTTCTTTTTAGCGGGTTTAAAGATTGAGAAAATTGTCATGTATTTTCGTGAAATTTTTCTAATTTATGAGAAAAAAGCAGTGTACACGGATATAGTGAAGAGTGTGCGCAGTGCCATTTTTGTGCAATTCTGGGATGTTTTTTTAAGTAAAAATAAGTCGACGTGTAAATGGTTTAGTGATATTTTAATTAAATGATAGTTATTTTGTGAATTTTATGTTTGTAGGAATTTGGTATATGTTTAAGTTGAAATAAATGTGCATGGAAATAATTTAAATATTTGATACTAAGTATTTGTAATGCTTGCGGTATGAATTCGTTGGTGACGTGTATAATGTAATAGATGATTTAGAGGTAAAAGTTTTTGGATATTTTATTTATTTTATATGTGGAAATGTTCATATTTGTAAAGGGTAAATACTTTTTCGCGATCAGGTAATTTCATATATGTTCTTTTTAGCGGGTTTAAAGATTGAGAAAATTGTCATGTATTTTCGTGAAATTTTTCTAATTTATGAGAAAAAAGCAGTGTACATGGATATAGTGAAGAGAGTGCGCAATGCCATTTTTGTGCAATTCCGGGATGTTTTTTTAAGTAAAAATAAGTCGACGTGTACATGGTTTATGTGTATGTGTTATTTTGAAAAACGCGTAAGGACTATGGTATTGTGCACTTTTTCCCAATTTTGCAGTGAATATTTGTCATGATTAAGCAGTTTTGTTTGATAAAATTTCTAGCATAAGTGTAATTCGGCTAGTAGATTGTTGGAAGAAGTGTTCAGTAGATAAAAAGAAAAGAAACATGTCTTTACTTCGTGAAGACAAAATGGCGGCGGGGAAAAAAAATAGAGGGTTGCTGTAGGAGAGTTGGTTGCCAAACTTTTGCCAAAAAATCGCCAAGTTACCATAATGTAAAGATCTAAATTGCACATAATACTGGCAGCTACAGCCGATATAATGGTTTTTATATGAAATGTGAGTCACCACGTAATAAAAAAACTTGAGAAATATAGGATGAAATCAAATATACAAGATCAGTTAAAATTACCAATTGATGACTTGGTTTTCTGCTCTAAAAGTGTACGATTTTTTCTTTTCTGTTCAGCAAGCTTCTGAAGTTTTTTTTTCTGCTTTTGGATCCCATATTTTTTGGTAGACAAAACAGTTTTATTTTTCACTTTCTTAATTTTGGGATTTTCTGGAACATAAATAAATATGCAATAAATAAAATAAAGTATATATATATATATATATTTATATATATATATATATATATTATAGTATATATATATATATCGAGTATTTAGTTATATATATATATATATATATGGTAAATAAATGACAAAATTAATATAGTATAGATGATACTAAAAATGATCGGCTATCATCACAATCTAAGACTGGGGCATTTTTTAATATATACACTGAACTTCTGCTCAGACTGAAATTTATGGTTATATTTCTAAAATCTGAAGCGCCGGAGCCCCATGGAAGGCCATCAAGAAAAGTGAACATAAATTAATTAATATAAAGAAATGTAATATATATATATATATATATATATAATATATAAATAATTGAAATTTACAATAAACAAATGCACAATAAATTAAAATATCGGAACATTATCTCTCTGAAGAAAAACCCAATTTAATTCAAAAACTGAGAAGTATTGGTACAGGGTTCCCATTAAATTTAGGTCTGATAGTGATAATATATGTTATTTAGAAGCAAAACATTAACGATCCCTTTGCTCTTAACTGCATGTTCAGCATACATACCTGTTTTAAGGTCCTCCGAAAGCAAATTTAGAGCTTTAGCCACTAACAACTTCGACATGTTTTATTCGTCTTCGTAAAGTTCGTAAATAAGTAACAATTGATATTCACAGGAAATCTTCATGATAGAAGTTGTAGTGATTGACTGAAGAAATATTAACTAGGAGGACGTTTTCAGATTTGCATTTATTAAGATTTGGACACCGTCGAGATAGAAGAACGGGTCGTTTTTTGCGATCTACTCGACAGAGACCGAGTCTGGTGTCATTACAGAGAAGGACGCGTCGGAAATTTTTCCGTCAGCTGGACAGCTGCCGTTTAAGTTTCTGACTGTCGTTTTAGAGCTAAACTGAGGACGGCGGAGGTCACGGATTGTTTTTGAAAGTGTACGTAATAGATATTTTAATTTCTTAAGATTTGTGAAAAACTCGAGTATTTAGTTATAGAAATAACGGATTTGATGCTGACGATTCTACATTATTTATTTATTCTGCATTACCAATGCCTTAATTAAATTTTAGTGGAAATAATATATTTGGTGTTTTCCTATTTCACATATAAAGAAGGGGTGCATACTTTTAATTTAAAATTGTAATTTTTAAACTAATATATATATCAATATACTTAATTTCATGTTTTGATGAGTAATTTATAAATTTTGAAATTTTATGATTTAAATTAAAATGTATTTCCCTCTACTTTTATTTGAATTTGTAGTATATAAGAATGTAATACATTAGACATGCATTAAAGACTATGCAGTATATAATTCAAACTATGCACATCCTAAATTCAACATTTACATTAAATTGCTTTGAGTTAAAAAAGTAGTTTTAACTGTACCGATATCAATGTCAATTTCCAATAGTTTCTAGAATCTCCTGTATAAAATAAGTTAAATTCCTGTATAATTTTAGGTTAAATTCTTGTCAATATTATAATGCAAGATTTATAATTAGTTATCAGATTTTTTAATGTGGTCTACTTTTAGATATTACATTAGTTTGTGTATATTTATTCAGATCTAAAAAGTGCTTAGTTTTGGTTTTATGTAATTACGGCACAGTCTCGAGGGCTATCTGCCTAAAGTGAGGGTTGCCTTCGTGGAGGGCATTCTAAGGAAAACTAGCTAGTATACACGTAACACATGGGGAAAACCACGGAAACATCCATGCAACCAGCCCATTCGCCGGATTCCAACCTTGGACCGAACTTTTAGTGTTCAACAATTTTACCGGCCGCTGGTGGAATCAATTTAAAAAGGGTATAAATATATATGTACTGCAATTTCTTTCACTGCATTTGTTAATATATTTATACAGTTTTATGTATATTTAAAACAGATTTTCTGTGCCTTAAACTTCTATGCTTCTGGAAGTTACCAATGATATATTGGTAATGACGCCCATGCGTCCAGCCCGTTCGCGGGATTCGAACCTCGGACCGCACTACCAGTGTTCGGAGATTTTACCGCTCGGCCACTAGTGGGATCGACTTAAAAAGGGCATAAATAGGAATATGTACTGCAATTTCCTTTCACTGCATATATTAATATATTTATAATACATTTATATATACATACAATTATTTATTTAAAACAGGTTGCGTATGCCTTAATTTTTTATGCTTTTGGAAATTACGAGAAACATATTGGTAATGACAGATATGTTGGTAATGCAACAAGCCCGTTCGCAATATTTGGACCTCGGACTGAACTACCAGTGTTCAGCGATTTTACCACACGGTCACTGGTGGGATCGATTTAAAAAGGGTATAAATAGGAATATGTATTGCAATTTTCTTTCACTGCATATGTTAAAATATATATATGTGTGTGTGTGTGCAAGATAATATGTTTTATGGTTTAACCTATAGTTATTTAATTTTTTTAAATTTTTCTTCTTATTACTTTTGTTAAAAGTTTGTTATATTTTTACTCACTGCTTATTGGTATCTACGATACACAGTATATTTGTAGCTACGTGATAGGTATAATTCCTGAATAAATAAAATTATTTATATAATCATGGGTTGCTAAAAATTAATTTTTTTTATTCAAATTCATTAGGAATATTAAACACGCGTACACGGTGCTATATTTCAATGATTTGACTTATGACGTTGTTGCATAACCTTTTCAGACAAAATAATGTATTTTAATCATAAAATTCCTGTTAACAAATAGTTTGCAAACATGTAACCTTTTAGAAAATTTCCATTTTGCAAAAGATCATACGTAAAATTATGTTTACGTTTCTTCACATGCCTGAAGTTTTGAGCAGGCCATTTCTTTCTGCGTTTAAAATATCCATTAACGTTCCCCATTTCTTTTTTTCCATACTCTTTACTAAATCCAGCAGCGTATTTCTTTGAAAAATTTCACCATTTACTCGAACTCGATTTTTTTTCTACCGCCATCCTCAGAAATAACAGAAACGTGCGAAACAGCCCCTTCTATAATAACAAACTACCCCTTTTCCCTGAGCCTGGAGCAATGTAGAGGTGAGATAGACTGGTTGCTATGCAATAAACGTCACTTCCGCACAGAATTTCCACTTCACTTTCCGCCGACGGAATTTGAAGGGGCCAGACTCGCTCTCCCTTCTGCTGTCGAGTGAAAAGAGAATCCCAACTGGTTTTCCGATATCGATCTCGACCGGTATCCAGACTAGACCCCTTATGTTAGAAAAGACGAAAAGGAAAAAAATGTGTGCGGAAAATGGACTACTCATAGATCAAATTCTTTGCACAAAGAAGTCAAATGTCGTTATTCATCAATGACATCCGCAATCTTGAAATACAGAAACACTGCGAATGGCGGATGTTAAAGATCTGAAAAGCGCTCTAGTGTACGCCATGAAATTTGAGGCAGCCCAGCAAGCAACTCGTAGAGATCGTTACCCAGTGAGAGCTGTGCGAGTCCACGAGCCAGTGGATCAATTGATGGCTCATTTAGATGATTTATTTAGACAACTCAATGCTTTGATAAGGAGTAAGAGTGAGAAGAAACTCTGTCTAAAGTGTTGGAAATGTGGTGTGGAAGCCCACTTACGAAAGAACTGCAGAATACCCCTGGGGACGAAAATAAGACAGACTATTTAACCATACAACTAAATGCCTTGAGATGGAATACCAGTGACAAGAAACCGACCCTAAAGTGCTGGAACCATACATAGTGGTGTTGAAGGCCATATACGAAAGGACTGCAGAACACCCAGAGCTTTGAAAATAAGACAGACGGTTTGAACAGACAATTAAATGCCATGGGACGAAAAAGGAGTGATAAGAAAACTAAGAGCTGGAACTGTGGAGCTGAAGGCCACGTACGAAGGAACTGCCAGGGTACGGAAAATAAGACCATTTCCCAACAACGACGCAGGAAGCAAATTAATTATCATATCGCGTACCGGAATTTGAACGATAGTGAAAAACCCCGTTTTAAAGCGGTCAAGATTTCTACAGTGAGTGGCAATACTAATGGACTATCCATCAATGAGCATATCGATGGAGTTCCTTGCAATATACATGAGATAATGTTATCCTAATTCGGAAGGATTTAGCTCAACAATTTAGAAATAAATTCATTTGGACGCCATCCTGTGTTACCCTCCAGATTGCGTCTGGCGATGAAATCTCCATAGCTGAGAAGTTAAACGTGAGCATCACCTTCGAAAGTGCCATCTACCACCACATGGTAGGAATCCGTTTTGAGTCGTAATTACTAATAAAAGTGAAATATCTACGAGCATTCGTAATTCTGCGTTTTTAGAAATAACACCCGGTTGTCACTACGGAGGTTGGGAAACATATGAATTAAAATTTAAATCGGCTTTTGCAACTTTCAGTTAAAGTCCCTTTTTATTTCCTTCTACGAAGTAACGGAAGTATTGTAATCACGAAAAATTCCGGGTATCATATTTGAATGAAAATGTTCATTTTGACCGCTATCGAATGCAATTTAACGATGTTTTTTCGTGACATCTCTACGTAAGGACAGAATAAAGGACTCTTTTTCCCAAACGTAAAATTGATTTAAAATGGATTCAGAAGAGGTTTTTTGCATCGTTTGAAACATCGTCAAGCGTCGCGGAAAACTCATTTTTTGTATCACAGATCAGAATTTTTGTAGCTTGAAAAGTAGAATTCACAAAAATGAATCATAGTCTTCCGAAAAGTGGAACTTTAAGGAAAATAAAAAATTCTGCTCTCATGGAGCTGCGAAAAATCTTTTGGAAAGAAAATAAAAGATTATTTTCATGCCTACCAAATGTGCATTAAAACTTTGACATTAATCAACGATACGAGACATTCTTCCTTGGTTTACATTACGCTATTGTTCATGAAATGAAATATTTTGCTGTACTTATTAATACCAACAGCTAAGCAATTCAAATAAAATTTGCTTAATCAAGAAAGCGAATATTGTACCAAATGCAGAAAGTGCCAAAATAGATATATATAACATCTAGATAAATGGAGAAAGGATTTTTACAGGGAAACAAATTCTAAGTTAATGTAAATGTTGATATGAATAAAGGAAATATAGAAGAACGATAATATCAAATTAGCTTGAAAATGTTTGAATTAAGAATATCTACAACAGTTTCGGTATAAATATATACAAATTTCTCGACGTCTCAGAAATATTCACATACTTTCGCTTCATGTGTTTTTTTAGAATAATAATTACAGTGATGAATTTATGAAAAAATACAAGGATTTAATTTTAAATTTCGTAGAATTTTTGTTTAAGCAAAGGAAAGTGTTTTTAAAAGCAACTAAAGCAAGAAATAATTAAAGTGTGCAATTAAAATATTTCTTGCATAATTTTCTTTCATGAAATTAAGGCTAAGAAACGTAGAATGTAAGAAAATCTGTAGATATTCTGAGTTCATAAATTTCTTCCACTCTTCCTAATTTCGAATTTTTAACGTAATAGTGTATAGGTGAATCATTTAGTGGCCAGTAAGAATAGATTCTATTCGTGATACGTTTGGAAATCCGAAAATTACGTGTCTGAAACCCTGTCTAGTTCTTCCAAAGAAAATCAATAAAGCATTAAAATTTATAAGAGTAATAATGGACGGCAGCTATCTCTGGGCATCTATCCAGGGCGGAACTACCAGCAGCCAAGCAGTCCTGGCCCTCGTGAAACAATGCATACAATTGTACCGATTTGTCCCAATCTTTCTATAGGAGTATACTTGCAGTTCCATTTAAAATAGTTTTTGTATTTTATTATTAAAAACTTCATGCAACTTATTTGTTAAGAAATTTTTTTTTCTCCATGATTGTAATGTCAGAGTCTAAAATTTCAGACTCTAAGGTCACAAACACGATGAGATATACATATAGTTTCATTATCTGTTACTTAGATTCCTTTTGTTCTTTTCAATAATTGTTTGAGAGCTTTCATCTCTCAGCTTTCTGAAAAGTTTCAGATTTTAAATTACGTCCAAAGGGGCGTTGTTTAACATTTTGTGTGTTACCTTTATTTATTAAGTATCATGTTCTTCGCACTTAAAGCATAAATTCAATTCAACAGCAATATCGAAAAAAAAAAAAAAAAAAAAATTAAAATGAGCATATCTTTAGAATTTCCGATACAAAGTCTGGAGATAAAAATGTTTTTTTTTTCTTACAGTGTTGCTATTGCTTGCTTTGAAATCGTTTAGTTTGTTGATAAGAAAATTCATTGAAATGTTACAAAATATGAAATCGATAACAAAACAAATTTCAAATTCAAATTTGGGTTTCCACATGCCCATATTTTATGGAAGATTACGTTATTCAAATTTTGATGGTTCTAGGTACACAATGCGAGAAGCATACATACATTCACCGATTATTCATTATTTTAATTTCTTTAAATATAATGCAGGGTGATAATATTTGGTGGAAACAATTTGAAAAGTGAAACAACGCTCATCGTGAAGCGGCGCAAAATGCCAAAACGAAATCACTAGCCCTTCTGGGCAAATTGCCCCTTTGGACTAAAAATTAGGCAAAGCAGTACAAGTGAAATCCTCTTTAATGATTTTTAAAGAACTAAAATTTTGGTTCGTTATATCCGATCTAATTAAAAAAAAAACTCACAAAATAATGCAGAAATTGATTGATGAATATCCATAAATGAGTAATTTGCACCGTAATACGTGCCAAAAAATTTAATAAAAATTATATTAAATTTGATTACAAATGCTATTAAAGGCAGTTACTAAATTTTTTTTTCGTTGCTTTTCAGTTCCACTATACGTTAATAATATTAGCAAAATATTACTTCTGGTCCCTCTAATTACATATGTGCATCTAAAATGATCATTCATAATTATAATTCATTATTTTATCCATAAAAATACAAAACCACTGAAAACGAATAACCAAAATATTGACGAATTTGCCTTTTACCTTTAATTAGTTTTTGAATACAGAAATAATCTGTAATTTTATGATTTCGTGATTCCAGATTGTAGGAAAATTTTATCTAAAATTTTGTTCGAAAGAGGAAGATTATATCATTTTCCGTTTTAGCAATTTGTATGAACAACAATTTTTTAAAGATACACATCATAACAACTGACAGGAGACATCATTATTGTATGTTTGGAAAAACTCCATACCACATTCTAAAAATAGCGAAATATAATTTTTCTAGCTATTAGGGATCAAATCTTTGTTTTCATCATCCTCTTCAATAACCTTTACTCAAGTAACATACCGAAAACAAGAAGTGAAGTTTTATATCTACTAGAGACAGTCATCCAAAATGCTTATAATAAGCTGTTTTCTGTAATAACACGTCAAGTTCCAGATCATGCTTCTTCACATTGTTCGGAGAATAACTTGAGAGTATTCTCCGTATGAGAGTTCGGAGAATAACTTGAGAGTATGTAAAATGAGGGAGAAACGACTTATTATGGTAACCCACATTAGGACTGTCATCAGATAACGTACTTCCTTTTTAAAGAAACAAATATCGCCACCAAGGCTGCTCTCTAAGCAACACTCTACCTCTCAATTTCAGTAGAGAACGTTTAGGATGGAAGTAACATTTTGGGCAAAAACAGCCTTAATCCTTCCTAAATATTCGAAATCTTTGTGTTTTGCACAGTTGTCAGTCATATATATCAATATAATCTTTTGCTTTCGGACAGTTCTTCGTCCCACTTTCACAGCTTTTCTTCAAATAGTATGAATCTCTTCCACGCCTTCTAATTAGTTTTACAGGAAAGAAAAAGAATTTTCAGACTAAACGTCTTAACTTTGGGATTACCAAAATATTAAGATGCTCAACGTCATTTATGTTGGCACAAACAAGAAACTTGATTAGCACTTTTAAACATTTTCACCAGTTTTTAAATTTAAATGTCTTGCTTGACATTATCTTGTAGAATGTATCTCTGGTTCATTGGCGTCAAAAATGTTTTTTTTTTTTTTTTTTTTTTCCTTTGTACTGGCGAGAGACTTCATCCTAAGCCTTGCAGCATCTCCATAAAATTTCCACTCTAAAAGCAAGCTGTGCACTTCTTTCTTATTGGCAAAAATTGCAGAGTTTCTATCATAGAATCAATTTTAAACAGATCCACTAAAAACGAATCCGATAGCTCAATCAAAAACTTGAATGAACTCAAACAGCCCATTCAAGTTCTTTGAATCAACGGATCAATGCATAACATTTCTGCAATGTAAAATTGCCAAGTACTTATATACCAAAGTATGCAAATTAACTGGGACAAAGCGAATTGTTTTAGTAATTTATTACATACCTACACATACAGTGCTAATAATGTTAATTATGCAAAAATAACTTCCTCTTTTCACAGAAACAAGCTTAAAAATGGTGCAACATTCATAATTAATCGTTCGAACCAGTTCTAAAGGGGTCAAAAGCAAACATCCAGATGGCAATAAAGCAGATAAATCTACTTTAAGAGCTTATTGGTGCCACTTGGCAACACACTTAAAATTTTGTGAAAAAAATCGTTTTATTTAAATTAATTTGCTCACTATAATACTTCTTAAACAATTTTTTTTTTTGCCTTGAGAAACAGGAAATTTAGGATTTCGGAATTTTCAGACTAAATGTGTATAATTTCTGTAAGCGTAACTCTCTTGTTTATAGTAAATTGCATGGAAGACATGTAACATTTATGTTAATAAATATCAGTGAATAATGCAACCAGCTACTTATTATGGCCAAACAAGATTTAAAATACTTAATCTTAGATTTAGAAGGAGAAACGTAATTTAATACCTAGCCGGCAATATTCATGAATTGTCAAAATATCACAAATCTAAAATTTATTCCTGGTATTTACTTATTGGAAAAAAAAAAAAAAAAAAAAAAAAAAACCCACTATATTTCATTAATAAATTTAAGGCTAGAAATTCTATGTCTAAAGATACTTCTTTTTAATTTTTCAGTTTTAAATGCAATTTTTCAAAACAGTAGCACATAAACACATAAAAAACAATAATTTTAAGTCATATGTCTGCCATTTTCATGCGCAATGCCACAAACTTCTTTCAAAAACAAAAATACGTGCTTGAGGAGATTAAGCGTCCTCTTTCCCATTCATCATTATACGTGTTTAAAATTTGCGAATATGTTTAATCAATTAATTAATTTATTAATGATGTTTAATAAGTTAAAATAATTCCTTTTCAGTTTAAATAGTAGTTATTTGATTTACATACGCAAATATAAAATATTTGAAAACGAAAACAATGAGACTTAAGCGAAAAGATAATATTTTTTTTTTCAATTATTTTTACAATTTTGTAAAGCGTGGAAAATTTTCCATGAGTCACGTTTATCACGAGTGAAACATAAATAAGAATGTAAAAAAGTAAACTTTTAATCTGTGCCATAGCAATAGCTTACGTCAATAGATAAGCTTTACATTTGCCTCTAAAATAGCTGTCTATAGCCTCAATAGCCCCCTTTTTCCTAATAAATGGTCAGTATTTTCAATTCTATGACTAATAATCTAGCCTATAATCTATTTCTAATATAATACAGTCAGAGCTGCAATAAAATATACCAACGAAAATAAATGGGACCTAAAAAGGCACCTGAAACTTCAATAGTTGGGGAATATGATGTAGAGCTTATGAATTCCGATGAACTAAAGATGTATATAGCAGCCTTAGAGGAAGAACTTAAAAGAATGTGGAGTGCATGTAATGTGCACCAAAACGACAACAGAGAATATCGGGGTTTCTTAAAGCTGAGCCAAGAACATGCAACAGGAATAACAGAGGAAATATTTCAAGCTAATGTAAAAATTCAAGAATCATTGAATGAAATAAATGAGGAACTGAAATCTGAAGATAAACTCCATGCAATTATTAAAATAGAAAGCAATGAAAATGATGACAGAGAAGCTCTAGAATCATTTGTTATGGTTAAAACTGAAGAGGCTGAAAATTTTAAGAAAGAAGGAGCTTTAAGAACGGCAATAGAGGAAAAAGACAGACAGATAAATGACGTGCAGCTTTCTTGGTTGTTTACTTTAATAGATCTAAAAGAAAAGAAAGAAGAAAGTTCTTCTATATTTTGTAGAGATTTAAAAAATGCATTTGATGATTTTGTGCAGCAATATTTGGTAGAATTCCAACAAAAGAAGTTTGATTTTCACGAGAAAAAGATGGCGAAATTAACATCAATTTTAGAAGGAGATTATGGAATACAGTTTCTAAAAAATAATGCTGCCTCTGATATAGAGAAAATGGAATATTACTTCAGAGATATTTTTTGGAAAAATATCCGTATTTTCGATGAACTAAATGAAGAAAAATCTTATTTAAAGAAAGAATATGAAAAGCTAAGGTCTTCTCTTAATGCTGCTAAGCAGAAAAATAGAAAAGTACAGTTAGTTAAAGGTAAAAAAGCTGAGATAAAATCAAATATTGATGTTGATGAAGATGCTTTACCATTTAATTTAAAACTTGAGCAACTTATGTATGAACATGATTGCCTAGAGGAAAAACTAAGAAGAGAAACCAATGAATTTAATTTGTTAAAAGAACGTTTTATAAAAGCTCTGAGAGACATACGATTCAAAGCAAATTTTAGAACTTATCTAGCAGAGCAAAAGCTTATTTCCTTTCTCAAGATCCGGCCACTTATGCTTTCAGCATCTGCCATTGATCCAAGTACTACTACCGATCTAAGAAAAGATCAAAAGAAAATAATATTTAACAATACAACAAATGAAGAAGAAGCAGAAAAAGTAGAAGAAGAGAAATCAGAAAATAATTAATTCCATAATTTGAAAACAAAACTGCAAAATCGAAAGTGTCTAGGATAAGAAAAAGTCCTATTTTAAATATTCAGTCGATGTATTAATTCTATATTACAAGCAACAGGTAGTAAAACATAGGTTATCATACTACACATATATTTTTAACTACTAATTATTTAGCAGTTGCATCTTACGTCTAATAAACAGAAAACTTGTATTCAAGTTTGAGAAAGTATTGTGAAGTAAGTCTAATTTTGATGAAAAAAATTAGTTTCTAAGCGTTTTTGACACATTCTTCTTTTATTAGAGAGGCAATTAGAAATAATTTCTAAGTTTTGTTTTTGACTGATTTGTTCAATTCTTACGAATACTTAACGAAAAACGTACGGAAAGCATAAAAATACAAATCTTACTGTGAATTACAAACGTATTATATAGTAATAATACCTTCAAAACTGTGCATCAATAATTATTCAGAAAAGGTGGATTTTGCCACGAAATAATGATAATGAATAACAAATTATTTTTCAAAATAATTCATTTTTGGATATTTTATTAAATGATAACTTCACATGGGCATGAAAATCGACAGCTCAATACGCTGTAAAGCCTCAATACGCTGCATAAATTAAATTGCGAAGGCGAAGCTTACTAATGTCATGACGCCACAATTTATTATCGCATTTTATACTAGGTGTAATTTTATACTAGGTGTAACTGATTATTGTTATTTTCTACTGAAAATAACAATAATCAGTTGTTTATTATTGTAAATTAACACTAAATTCTTAATTTTAAATTACATTTCTAAAAATTAAGCTTTGGTTTTGCTGAAAATAAGCATAATAAATTGTAAATTAACATAGTAGAATAATTTAGTCATTCCATTTACTAAAGCGGTAAACAACCCAGGCTCACGTACTTGTACTTTAGACAGCTTCAATATTTTCAAAAATTTTTAAGCTTTGGCATAATAAAAAACAATGTTTTTTTTTTAAAGTTTACATTGTAGAACCCATTAATTCTATTTTAACAAATAATTTTATTGCTACTCTAAGTCACAATCCGGTCCGAAAATAAAAAACACAAACGTATTATAACAGAAAATAATAATACAAAAGTTACTTGCGTTAGGATCATATGCAAGTTTGCGATTGTCGCCTCTTTTAAGATTGTCAAACTATGGATATTTACCAAAAAACTGTCAAAAACATTATCAATATACCAAAAGAAAATAATGAAAAATCCACTTTACAAAAATGATGATTAATAAAACAAAAATGATGATTAAAAATACAATTTTCAATTAATACAATAGTAAAAATTAAAAATGCGAAAAGGATACATTAAACTTCAAGCATAAAATACATTACTTTATGTTTTCTCTATGTACACAGCCATCTGTTTCCTCTAAAAAAATTCAGAGAATTGCACAAACTCGTCATCGCGTATAACCTCGTCATCGAGCACTAGCTATGACCGCGACTCTCCAAAAACAGTTAAAATTTCAAAGTACCCTTCAACGCATCAAAATATAAAAGAAGTTTACTGTTTTCAGTATTTAGAAAAAGCCGTTTAAAAAATAAACAGCAATCGGAAATAAAGAACAAGCGACCGAGAGAGAAATATCCCACAAATCTACTGATTCGAGTTAAAAAACCTCTATAATAATGACCGTTCAGCGAAAGTCAGGTTACCAAAATAAAATCCTTAACCAGCAACGAAATCATCAAATTTAATGTGCACGCGATACCTCACTTTAGCCAATAAAAATAAATAAAAATCTTTTAGTCCTCGGCTTTTGTAGAATATATTTTGTCCGAATCTTCGAAGTGTAAGCTGTTTTTCGCTTTCAGATCCTAATGCTTGTATCCTTCGTGCACGTAGCAGCTGAACGCTTTCCAACAGTCGGAAATTACAAGCGATCTAGACAGAACACTTGTATTAATTATTTCTAAAAATAACTCACAATCTCTGCTTTCAACCACAGTAAACATACTATCGCAAAGCAAAACTCTCAAAATGTTCTTATAGCTAGATATTAATTTCTTTGCACACCTCACAGCAATGGGCTACAGCATAGAATGTGTAGGCAATTACGACAAAATAAAATTACCATTCTGAAATTTTTGAATATTTAATACAATTCTATTTACAGTTATATTTACAAATTAGACACACTTCAAAAACAGAAACAACTCTTCTTATCTGCATGCTGAGAATAATTGTGGAATCATTTCCTAAACTTAAACGCTTCTGAAGATCGAGCATCGCAAACTTAAACACAGGATGCCTTATTTTCTTAATGCAGCAAACTAAAAGAATTTCCTAATATACGCAGCGGATTTCATACCCAATTCTGTAACGCAGTGTTGAAAACTAAACTTTAGAACGAGGTAGTCTAAAATCCAGAAAAGCTTTTCTCTTATTCGCTAACGGAAAATTCTGTAACCATAGTTACCACTAGCGTTGTTGCCAGGTTTACTCTCGTACATACGTGGAAGCACAACACATACACTTATCCGCCATTTTTTTTCAGATAAAAAACACCAATTTCATTTTTATTATTCTCTCCTTGCTATATTTTTGCTTACGAAATCAATTTTCATCAGTTTCTACAATCATCTTTTGCCCCTTAACAATATATTCTATTACGAACTTAACTCTCTGCACACTTACATGGAACAGTTCTGCCAATCTGTTACAGTATTTTTGCCATTCTTAACTTAAATCGTATAAAATTATTCCCACACCACATACACGTAACTGACAAAACACAGCAGTACCCTTCAACGTATCAAAAAACGTATCAATGTTTACGCTTCTCAAATTATAAATCCTTTCGAACACATTTTTCTGTTCTACACATCATTCAAATTATCTATACAACTTTTTGTTCTGTAGTTTCATATTCATTCCTCAAATTTTACGACCTGGAAATCTACATTTTCTCCATACACCAGTCAAGTTTTTTTTTACACTTTCACTCCAAAAGCCAGTGGCGTAGCTACATAAAATGGCGTCCTTGGCAAAAATTTAAATTATGTCTCCTTTAAAATATTTAAATCATGTTTATTATCTTTTTTGATTTATTTTCAGGGACAAAATGGCGTTCCCTGCGAGTGGTGCCTATGACACATGTTCTACCTGCCGTATACTACATACCCTACTATCAAAACTTAAAAAAATACAAATTTAGATTTTCATTTATACTGCAGGAAGCACTGACATCACACATAGTGATAGAAAATATATAAAAGTGTGTGCATGATCAGTGATCGTTATAAAAAGATGTGTTGAACCCTAAGGCATGAAGGTTAGAATAGACGAAGTAAGCATGACATCACAAAACTGAAGCGAAGGAAATGTTAGCAAAGTGACGTCAGTCTTATCATGGCCACCATACAGCGTACGAGGAAAACTACGAAATATATTGTTAAATAAAATTACACTGAATCTGAAAGCAAACATCAACGTCTGGAGGCTTAGAAAAGTGTTTTAAGGCATAATTTGCATAAAACTTCTAGTGATCTTCCAGGTTTTACCATGCATATATTTGTGCTATAGCTACCATTTACACATTTTCAAGTTAAATAAATTTATAAACGCTACTTGCAATCCTTGTGATTTTTCTATACACTAAGTAGAAAATCTTTAAGGATTAAAAGTGGAACGAGAGACTTATAAACGTTCAATATGACTTATAAACGTGATGATGTCATACCGTGAAGTTTCATGGCTTCATTTTCATAGCACGGGACATACGAAGAAAGTTTACTCCATCTATTCTAACCCCTCCAAGTAAATAACGGCTCTATTTGTATAGTGTCTTCTAGGATTCAGCCACAAACCAATCTGTAACGTGAAAACTGCAAATATATGCATGCTGTTTACCGTTCTATTAGGCAATTACCATTTTCTGCATCTACCTTTACTCAAATATGAATGGTTTCAGAGTAAACTATAATTAAATATCTTAATCTTTATACTTAAAATGATCTGTGATGACCTTGTACCTCGCATAACTAAGGCTAAGAACTACATCTTAGTTACCATAAACTACTTCAGTAAGAGGCCGGAAGCTTATGTCATTTCTGATCAAGGAGCTTCTACCATCGCAGGAATTCTAGAAGAAAACTGGACTTTCAGATTTAGATAACCAATTTATTCATTCTAAACAAATAATAAATTTCACATCTACCGTATATAAAAGGCTTTCTTTGAATCAACAGTCGGTATGTTGAAATCCACAGTAGGACGGCATTAATTCAACAATATTGAACCATCTCTCATTATTCGTACCCTGGTGTCAGTAGAATTGGAACCAAAACACTTCATTTACTCCTGCTAGGATTGAAGGGCAAGAGCGCATTTAATTTTCTTCATTAGAAATAATTTTTAGCCATAATCTTTGTCTGTTTGCGTTCTGCTCTTACGGTGGTTGCTGAACACGCGTATTCTGCCTGAGCAATACCTGGGACATCTGCTGGCACATTCAGAAACATTCACTGGTTCGCTAGAATAAGAATTAAGACAACGACTGATAAGATAAAAAAACTGTTGTATGATGCCAAGTCAACGGAGAGCGAATTTGACGAAAAATATCAAGTCTGGCTGGATAAAATTACAAGCGTGGCTGAAGGGTCTCAATCAAGCTGTAAACCCTTCTGTGTCATCAACAAACTTAGGGATGTAACGGAGGTGGGTATATACTGAACTTCTTCGAAACCTAAAGGAATGCACTCCAAAGTTGTCATTGGTCTTGAAGATTGCACTACTGTCACGTATAGTCCAAAAGGAGGGGGGGGGCATTGAATTCTTTTTCGTTTTTACGTCCTTTTATAATATTATATACATTTTTATTTATTTGCTGTATTTGTAACAATTTGTATCGTAAATTTTTATTTAACCGAACTTGTGGCCAAATACTGTGTTTGTAAGAATTTATTTCTTATATTTTTTGTAGATGTTATAATTCTAAATAGATAGCCATTTGAATTGTGAAGATAGCTCATTTAGAAGATGAGATATGAGCGAAAGCTTTCCTTATAAGCCTAGGAGACATTTGGCGATTTCATGCCAACTTGAAGACTTTTTGGATGCTGTAATAAAAGGCATTTTTCAAGCCCTTGGCGACTTTTCTCAAAGTTTACAGATATGCTCGGGTAGTCTTATGTATATATACAGCTCGTTGAAGCCGAGAGTCAGTTACTTCAGCGAATTAGCCGAGTAAGTAATTTCAACAAAGTCTAAAGTTTTTTCTGCTCATCTGGAATAGTTATTCAAGATAATTTTACGAACCCGTAACTCGCAAAAGTGTGCATGTTTTTGTATGAAAATTTGAAATACGAACTTACACTTCACCAAATACAGCATGCGCTGAGATGTAAAGTTAAATATGCAACGTATTGTAATAAAAATAGTATACATTTTTTAGATTTAATTTAATTTAATTTTTTTTTTTTTTTTTTTTTTTTTTTTTTTTTTTGTATTTAGAAAACAGCAAACATCTGACGCTGATGACAAAAAAGGTGTGCGCTAGACAAACTATCTGGGATAACCTTATATCGTCTTTTTGACACTGAACTTCCAATTGCAAGATTACAAAATCCTAATTAAAAAAATACAAATAAAAAGCCTTAAAATATTGTAAATAACAGTAATATGGAACGTCTTATATAATTTCTAAATGTTTTGTAAAATTCCAAAATTTTAAAGATTCATAAATGTTAAAATGGTATAAAGAAACTAGTATAGGAGTTTGAAACAAATATAATTACTATATTACTTTAAGTTTAAACTTTTTTATTCATATTTTTGAGACTTAAAATTTGACTGTTGCTTAAATTCAAAGCGAATGCTTTAGCAACTAATTCATGTCACTCTACTACTCACCAACGATCTGGTCTTAAATAACTATGCATTTAAAAATAAAAAAATGTTTTTATATGAGCTATTTTAGTAATTTTTAAAGTTATTTTTGCAGGAAAAAAAAAGAACTATTAAAATATTTGAAATAAATTCAAAGGCTGCTAAGATTTATTATTTTGTCCAGTTTTCCTGTTTTAAAATTCTATTTTGTCTTAAATTTGAAGTAATATAGTGTTTTGAAAATTATCGTAAAACTGATTGAAATAAGTGCAGCGTTATTTAAAATATGAGAAATAAACAACATGAAATGAAAATGTATAAAAAATAAAATTTTATTATATCACAAAACTTCCCTTATTAAAAATATTTATTTACAAGAATTCAAGCAACCATCAACCATTAAAAATACACAAACAAAGTTTTCTAAACATGGGAAGTCAAATATTGTAATTTCTATTTTAAAATCAAAGCTGAAGAAAATGTCTGTTCAATTTCGTTCATATGCTTTTTAAGTTTAGTTTCGTTTACTGGATTACTCAATAGATGGCAGCACCTCAGTCACAGTCGCTTACCACTGCAATGCTTAAACGCAGCAATTAATCTCCATACGAATAAATACATATACAAATGCAATTTCACATTTTCTTCAAACTATGATTATACATGGACAGTATTTTATTTGTTATAACGTATCAGGTTTTTAAAAGAAAATTTTATAGGTCTGCTCAGACATGTAACAATACTTCAGATAAACCTAAGGCCATATTTTAAGTTATATGATCAAAGACATAGGTGGAATTTATTTATGAAGATATGCAGAGTTCTTATAAAAGATTACAACAGAAGGATGTATATTTTATTTCTGTTTATCTTGCGAAAAGATTTTAATGAAAGGTTTCGAAACATAACGAGAGTATCAATACTTTTATAATTCTGAATCAATCAATGAGAAACAATCATTGATTACTATTACTATTAAAATTATTAAAAAGTTAATAACTAAGAATGAAACTAAAGAATTATTTTTTTGATGCTGGAAATCAACAGTTTCTTTTAATTTTAGATATTTAATGAGCAATATTTATTACTACTACTATATAGAGGTTTTCGAAAACTTATCGTGATTTAGTATATTTTAACACTGCACTCTGTTTTATATGTGAAAAATTAATATCGAAAGTTAATTTTACAGAAAGATTTTTTTGGTGCGACCATTATAAATGAAGGTGATCCGAATTTAATTTAACTTGTGAATTTAAACAGAATGCTCAAAGCTTATATTTTGTTTTAATAGATAAAACATACATGAATCAGTATCTTATGTCAAGCGTTTACTGTCATATGAGTTACAACAACTCTAATAAAATCATCTATTCTGTGTGCACTGATATCTCAAGAATTGCTCTCTGAAGGCAGAAAATGAAGTTTCAGGTTTTCAATAAATTAAGCAGCTTTTTATTTTGAGATCACATAGAAAATTTAATAACTCTATCAAATATTTCCGTCATCAGCCATAAGCAACATGAGCCTTATTATTTTCCCCAAATTTTACTCCTTTTTCCAACATTACGCCAAACATCACTTTTCCGTTTAAGTTAAGTCTTGGTCTGCGAAAGACCGGTGACAGTATGGATGATATAACTCCTAAAGGACTGTAACCACCACTTAAAATTCCCTTATTGTTACCACTTCCAAAGTTCAGACTAATTCCAAGTGGTTCATACTGTCCTGACCTGGCAACGGCAGGAGGCTGATTTACAGATGGTTGTATTTGCTGTATTGGATAATTGGCAGCTTGTTGGTGTGGGTTTGGATAATATGGTTGTTGGGATGCTTCATAATTTGGTTGCGGATAGTTTAGTTGAGAACTGCTATGGACAGGAGCAATATTTTGGTAATTTAGAGCTTCCTGCGGAGTAGGGTGTTGATATGGTTGTTGAGTGAACTCATTGGCCAGTAGACCTATATCAGCGTTAGGAGATCTTAATTGTTGATGAGATTGATAGGCTTTTCCAGCGGAGAAATTCTGTGCCTCTACTTTGACGGACTCTTTATGAACCTGTGTTTGAGATTTTTCACTTCCTCCCCCAACTCTAGATGTTTCTTTGAGGTTTGGATCATCTCTGGAGTTTAAAAGTTCTTGATATTTTCTTAATTCTTCTTCATATTCGTAATCCAGTTCTCCATTGCGCGGTGGAGCTTTGGAAAAGAAGTCTATTCCTGGAATACCCATATTATTCTGTTGATTTTTGGGATCTAGGGTGAGAAAAAGCATAGTTAGAAGTGTCATAGAAAAATAAAATATATATACTCTTATGCAATCAATATTCAGAAAATTTGCCTATTTACTTCTGTCAAAAGTTTAAGAAATTGAATGATCAACTAAAATAATGAGTTAAAAAGAATTTTTTTTATATATGGTAATTTAGCTCAGATAGATAGCAAATATTTTCATCACATTGTTGTAGCAAAATTATGAAGTTAACAGTAGTTAAATAAAATAAACAATAGTTAAAAGTGGTCCGAAATGTAAAATGCACTTGTTCCACCTACATACATATTTGGCATTATTTTTGCAGTTCCTCCTCAAATTGTACATTTTAAACTTATGTAATTATTTTATACATACCTCAGTTTACATTGAGATGTTGAAGACCTTTTCTGTTATCCTTTATATAATTACCATGAAGAATAACAGAGAAAGCTGATCATGCTACTGAATTAGAAGAGAAAGAAATCCAGCGCTTACGATTAGCAACATAAGTCGTGTGGATCACTATATAATGAGACAATAGGCACTGACTTTATAGAAGCAATTTAACATCTGACTAATCGGAGGAGGATTAAGCGTGTTGTAGATTAACGCCTTAAAAGCTAAGTTTGCTCATTGTTGAAAGCTGGAAAAATTACTATCACATTTAAATTAAATAGTGTTAATTACATTTTGTTTTACACCATTGATGTAAAACTAAACTGCCCCCAGAAAATATAAAAAGGAAAAGAAAAATGGGTTAATGCAATAACAGGTGAAGTCATAATATGAGGGAGTTGATTTGTGAACAATATCACGTAATTCAGTTACACGTAATATGAAATATTTCAGTATTTTCAAGTCATCCGTTAATATTAAATTGCTCAGTCATAAAAATTATTATTTAAATATTAATTTTCAATTTCACATTGAAAGTGTGTGACTGAGTGATTTGCATCATTCGACACATCGCGTAGTTGAGATATTTCACATTATTTCGAAAAAAAAAAAAAAAAAAAAAAAAAAAAAGTATTCACTTCTTACCATCCTCTCCTGGAACGGGAGCAAAGACAACAAACTGTGGCGTTCCTGGCTTAGCTCCTTTACTTGCTGAGAGAATCTTTTGCAAAACGTCATTCGATACAGTTGATACTTGATCAGGGCTGGAAGTACTGGAATCCACTTTAGGCTTAGGCGATGGCACAAAATGGACTATATACAGAGGATCTTTTTGGGAAGCATCATCGAAACTGTTTTGTTGTTGCATATCCTGATTTCCAAAATTATCTTGATGCTGGATATGTTGCAGATCATCCACACGCGAGAGGTCCCTTTGGTCCAGTTCCTGACTGGGCGATGACCGATGCTGAACATATTCCAAATCATTACGATTTTCTAAGACTTGGAAAATGTCTTCTTCGTGAGGATTTGTGAGTGCCTATAAAAGAAAGGTTATATAGTATTATGACTTCTTACAGAATCAGACTACACGCATTTTATAACCAATACAACTTAATTATTAGAAATATTTGTTATTATGAACAATCCCATTTCCTTTTTTTTCATTTCTTTTGGAGTATGTGGCATAATTTGCATCTCAATAAAACTCGAGCAGAAAATGTCATAAATGCAATCCCGCAGAAGAATAACGATTTTTTTCCTATGACTTTCACCCATCATGCACATCGCTCGATTAAGCCTGCCTGGAATCTCAACCACAATGCTATTTTAGGGTCCCAACACCCGCTTTTGACCAACACTCGATGTATCAGGAAAAGCAAGATTATGGAGATTATTATAGAATTTTAGGACTTCCTTAAATCTGGAATCCTAGGCTCAGGCATTATATAACTAAACGATAATTAGACTCTAATCGCTTTTAAAAAAGAAGGAGGATTAAAATATATAACAATAAAAAGCCTTTTTAAAAGCAACTGTGCTAAATGCTTGATTCACGAATGCCTTAGATCACGAATAAATTTTACAATTTGAAAATAAATGTCTTGGATGCCGAACGATGCTTCGAGATGCGAACAAGTAAGCTGGTAACAAATGATACTCAAAAATGCAGTGAAACTTGTTCATAGGACATTATAACCTTGATAAAGCTGCGGCATAAATATTTGCAATGAAAATGCCATACTTTTAGGAATACATTTAATCACAGTGGTGAGAGTGTTAATACGACAAACGCCCAGCGATTCTCAAATACAGGCAAGCGGGATTAAGAAAAAGGCGGAAGGGGAACCCAGAAAAATCAGCAGTTACGTGATATTCTCGGGGAAAAAGATTTCCTTTTTAAACAAAAACACTTTTCGCACCTTTGGCTTTTTCACCATTTTCTATTTACGCCTTCAACTTCCCTCTGTAAGGATTCGATAAATTTAATTCAAGTTTTCCTATTTTATATATATTAAGTATTGTGCTAAATATTGTGCATATATTAATACTATATATGTATTAGTTTTAATGAATTCCACTGGTTTTGCATTAAGAACATACATAAGAAATACTTTTTTTCTAAGCAATCATTTGCGATTCGAGAACAGATAAGTTCATTTTACATTAATTCCTATTTGGAAAATTGTTTCGGTTTAAGAATATTTTGGATGACGAATTATCTACAGCAACGAATTAAGTTCGTGAGCCACGATTTCACTATACTTGTCGCATCTCAACACATTTTTTTATATTCTTATAATTCTAGTAATGACAAAATAAGACTTAATTTGTAGTATCAAGATCTTACATGAATGCCTCAAATTTAAAACAGTTCCAAAAAATTTTATGTGTAAAATGTTTTAAAAAAATTGCAATCTGAAATCCTTAGATTGCGATCTAAAACCTAAAAATAGAATTTATGTTTAAATATTTAAAAAAAAAAAAAAAACATAAAGTATAAAATTAAAGAAGACGAATGATTCAGCACAGTTACTTAACTGGTGCAGAATCATAAGCATCCAGAGCAGGGCATTTTATATTAATTAAAACAAGTTGCAAACAACAATTGTTACAGTTAAATAGTTCTGTTACATCTGTGATGTAGCCGTTCCTCAATAGACACTAATGCTGGCAAGCTGTAAAAAGGATTTATTAACAGAGCACACAGGAAAGGTTAAAAACAAAAGAAATATGCATAAAAATGAAACATATACCAAATGGAACATCAAACATTAGAATAACAGAGACATAGTAACCTATCATCATGGCGGCTGGAGGTCGACTGACGTTTTTCCCACTTCGCCACTAGATGGCGTTTCAATAAAGTAGTTCGGTTACAGTTCAACAGTTCAAGGCGATGAATAAAATAGTTGGATTACCATTAAATAGTTCTGTTACAGTTAAACAGTTCTGTTACACAATGATATTCGTAAAAATTATCATTTGTGATTTCAATTTGTGGACTGAAAACAAATTTTCATAAATTAATTAATCTATCAGTAAGACACGGTATTAAAAAGTATAATGAATATTTGAATTATTAAAAAGTCCGATTATTGTTTTTTAAATTGCTTAACTTAAAATAACAGGTAAAAAGCTAAATGTTAGATATTCTTCTTCTTCGAATGGCAGCAATTTGAAAATCGTGCGATGCTCTGTGGAAAATAAATTAAAGGTTTTTTTTAACACTTGCCAAGAGAAGTTTCTAAATTTTTTCCTCTCTCCTAGACCGTCAGTTTTCAAATTTTGTTTCAAATTATGATCGTGTCGACGGATTTTATTTTGCCAGGGCAGCATTTTATATTCTGCATGAAAGCAATACCCTTAGAAGTATAACAAATATGTAAAATATAGCATCGCATCCTAAATAAATTTATTGTATTATATCCAATTATCTGTCGTTGTTAACTGATAAATCTAAATCTTTACAGCGAAATAAAATTGAAATTGAATTAAAAATATTTCATTTTAAAAATTTCAGTACGTGCTTCTGCATTTCGGTTTAACAGTAAAACATAAACAGAAAAATAAGAATGCATAAAAGTAATAAAATACATCTCGTTTGAATGTAACTGATGGGGCAATTGATATGGGCAATTGTAATTTACAAAACTTCAGCAGTACATTAAATTTCATTTTTGTCGCTGAAGTTAGTGTACACAAGAAGAATAATTAAATTTTTCAACCGCTATATTGCAAAATGTTGGAATGATATTTTAATTATTATAATAACTGTACGAAATGACATTTGTTGTAAAGTGTTATCGAAGAATACAGATTATTTTTACACATTGCGTAGGCAACATTTATAAGGCAATGATTTTGAATCTAAAATGATGCTAAAAAATCATCTATAATAATTTCTATATATATATATATAAGCGAAATACCACTGACTCATCCGAAACTATACACCCAATTGACTTGAAATTTTGCATAGTTACTCATTCCATGATGCAGACGCGCTCTAAGAACGGATTTTACGTAAATCCTGTCCAAAATGGATTTTTGTTATGCAACAGAATTTTTTTCATACATTTGGTTTTCAAATCCAAGTTCAGAATTTTTTTTTCGTTGCCAAAACTAGATATGAAATACAATGTCGACAATGAATTCATTTTCCTTTAAAATTGTTAAATTGGTAAATAACTTGCATCTATCCAATGAATACAAACAATATTTAAATGATAAGGTTAATAATAATAATTTATATTTAACTATGGTATCATAAGTTTCATGAAAATAAATGTTATTATTAAGAGAAATAAATTATTGTGATGAAAAATTAAAATGTTCTTGTTATTTATAAAATTGCCATACATAAAATATCAAGGACACATAATTTATAATTGATTAAAAAATTTGATAACAAAGACAGTAAAATTTATTTTTATGAAACTTATGGTAACAGTTAAATATATATAAAACTTAGTTTTATGTTGGCCAATTTTGCATGGTGTAGGCCTACTGAGGTTCCCGCCACATTAAATAATGGGGACGCAAATACACAATACCTCATGGGTGATGGGGAAATCTGTGTATGACGGATTCACTGACTGGTACTATATTTCTGGACTTTAAATTAATAAAATTTACATTAATTATCAATTCGAAATTAGACATTTCGTCCATATAAGAATTCTAGTTCACATTCAAATAGGTAGTGTACCCAGCAAAGCGGGGGAGGGTATCAACTAGTGCTACTATAATAAAGACAGCCAGTTCTAAAATTGCAAGATATGGCACTTAAAATTTATGAGACTTTATAAGAAATTCTGCAGATCTTTACAGAAGGAATAATTTTCTACTGATAAAAGGAGATCTTTCGCTTTTTTCAAAACTCATTGAGAATTTAACGAAACAGAGGTAATATCAAACAGAAGTTACCGTTTTTAAGTTTTTGATACGAAAAACGATTTTTGAATCATATAGTAACAATTCAACTGAATATATTTTGAAAAATATGATAAATTTAAACATAAAAAATGTTTCTCTTTTAACGAAATTAATAAACACACACACACTATGCATTGTACTTGCTTCGGCAGTATATATACTAAAATTGGAACGATACAGAGAAGGATGACACACTATGCATTATTTTAGTTTGACTACAAAAAATGTACTAATGAATCTTTAAATCTAAGTATTATTAATTTTAATACAGTAATTATTTTCTCAAAATCTACCCTTTCTTTTTGCTTTTTTATACTGAAATTAAGTGGAAATTTGAATAAAGTGTAATTTTAGTACTGTTTTAGAACTAATTAATTTAAATATAAAAAATATATTTGTTTCCTTACAATATTTATATCTAAAAGTCCTACCCGAAAAAAATGGTTTCAGGCGTATTATTAACCGCAAATGATATTTTGTTTTCAATTGAAACATTTACTTTCGGTTACCGTTCTTTTCCTGTTCTCATTTAAGGAACGAAAGCGAAATTTGGAAAAAGATTTAAAAGAAAAAAATACGTTATCCCTCATACGCTTTCTCTTGATCTTTCTTATTCTTTCCAGAATCTCTGCCACCTTATGGTTACGGTTATTTGGAAAATAAACAGAGCGTCAATAAACGGAAAATAATCTTTTCGGCTTTTCCATTGCGCAGCTTCTCCCTGCTTCACTGAATTCGAGTTTAGGGTGCATTTAGGTAAATACAAATAAAATAAAAACATTTTCATAAAAGCAAGGAAAATATAGATTTGATTTCATCGAATTTTAGCATATTTCGAGATTGATTCCAAAGAGCAACTTAAGTGAATGAAATCGCCATGATTAGTTTATATTAGTAATATGCGTAAAGTCTTTCACAGAGTATTGAACTAGGAAGGTAAAGGAAACGGCTTACGAATGAAAATTGAAGGTATTTTGAAATCGTAGACACTTCTCAAGGTTACTTGTTTTCTAACACTCCCAAAGGAAATGTGAGAGTTTAACGAATTGTTTGACGGTATCTTTGGATACGGAGAGATTTTAAAGCACACTTCCTTAACAT